AACCCGTTGAGGGGAACCTGGGTGGCTCAGTTGGTTAAGTATCTGACAGGTCATGATTGCAAGGTTTGTGAGGTCAAGCCCCACATCAGGCTCTGTGCTGATGGCGTGGAGCATGCTTGGATTCTCGTTCTCCCTTTCTCCACTCCTCCTCTGCTTACACACACTCCCTCTCTCAAAATAAATAAGCTTTTTTTTTAAAAAGAATAAACCCATTGAATTTTATATCACTTATTTTAAGCAAAAATATATTGCCCTGATGCTTCTGCTAAAAACTAACATAAAAATCTACAATATTTTCCAACTGAGGAAATAGAATCATTAAACACTTTATTCCTGCATTGTATGAATTTCCATTTTAAAAAGAAAACATGGGTCTAGATGACCCTCTAATAACTTTGGTGTCACACCTTAAATTAAAATTTTTAATTAAATGAATGGCCATTTGAATATATTTTAAAATAAGGTAAGAGAATAAGTATTATAAAAAATAATTATTTTGTTCCCTTTCTTTGTCTTATTGCAAACAATCTTTAGTTAAACACAGTTAGTTGCCTCTCTGCATTCTTCTAAAACAAGGCAATGAAAAAGAATTCAAGGCAGCTATGATATTGTATATCTTCCTGTAAAAGTTTGATATGAGTAAGGTAACCTATTTTCATTTAAATATTTTTAAAACTACATACCGCATAAGTAATTAAAATGAATATAGCATCCTAGCCTATATCTTTTATTCATAAAGGACTCTCACAGTGTAAATTATTACTTGTTTTAAAGTAACCACAATTCTCTCTAACCAATACCAAAACTATTAGGTATCATTTTGTTTGAGCTGCTTCTATGAGAAATATCACCAGGAAAAACATTAACACTTACGTGCTGATGTGAAGGTGCCAAATCTCTACTCTGCTCTCGTTCGCGGCTGCAAATATATAGGCTGATTTTGGAGACCAGGCAACATCATAAACAACATAAGTAGTTGGATAAAAACTCAAAAATGGCTTGGGATTCTCCTGTTGCCATATAATAACACCCCAATCTGCAGAACAGCTTAAGAACACATCATGACAAAATGGATTCCATGCTATTTTATACACTGGACCCTAGAATTAGAAAAACAAATTAAAATACATAGGTAAGTAATAGTTAACATCTCATACTTTAAACTTGACCAACAAATTAAAAATGCTAAGATTTCTAGAAGATTTAGGTACCATGCATTGTTGTGTATTATTTTAGCTCAGAGTAAGGTCATAAATTGAATCTTCCCTAAATAATGCCATACAGAAACATAAAAATATAGTTGTTACAATACTAACTAAATATTAATACATATTATACTTATTTACTTTAAAAAGTATAAGGATTACTTTAAAAAACAGAAATAAGGGAGAAAATGAAGAAAACATAAATGGAACAAAAGATACAGAAAATAAGTATATGCCAGAGACAATTTTACTTTGGAATCAGCATGTTATCATAAGCAAAGTCTTTCTGAAACAAATAAAAATTGTGACTTCCATAACTTGCAAGAAAAAAATCAAGAACACCTGGAAGCCAAACAAAATGTCCCACACGTTATTGATGATTTCCATATAAGACAGTACTTAATTCAATTCGTACTATTAACTCTGAAGTTGTAAATTTAGGGCATGTGAAAAGTAGTGTGTATAAAAATACTATTTTTTTCAGAAATATTAAAAGATAAATTTTCCATACCTACTATAATTAAACTAACCTTATGTCCTCTGTAGGTTTCTAGGTATTGTTCATTATATGAACAAGAACATTTGTGAATATGACCCTCTTCGGTGCCAGCCAAATAGATATTTGTATCCTACAACACAAAAAATTAAAACGTATTGGCTTGTGATATATTAGTAAAGGTGCTAAATAGAAAATCAGATCCCTCGGGGCACCTGGGTGGCTCAGTTGGTTAAGGGTGCAACTTTGGTTCGGGTCATGATCTCACAGTTCATAAGTTCGAGCCCCGCATTGGGCTTTCTGCTGTCAGTGCAGAGCCCGCTTCAGATCCTCTGTCTCCCTCTCTTTCTGTCCCTCTCCTACTCAATCTCTCTCTCTCAAAAATAAGTTAACTTCAAAAAATAAAGAAAATCAGATCTCTCAAGATCTATTAAAATGAATTCAAGAACCAAAACTAGAAAAACTATCTTGATAATAGTTGTCTGTTGTCTTTTACTTTCTATCATCGTTTTATAATATTCATGTATATAATGCTGAAGAAATGATTTTTTGCTGGATATGAAAGATTGAACTAAATGGAGTCTTAAGCATTTGTAACACCATATGTAGGTACTAAAAAGAGATTTTAAGTGTATTTCCTAATGTGAAGTCATAGTCTAAAGGTCTGAAAGTCAGGCTCTATGTCCTGGGTATGTGGAGTCAGTATCATCTTGGAGCATTTTAGAGATGTCAACTCTCAGATCCCACCCCAGACCTACTGAATCAGAATCTGCATTTTAACAAGATCCCTAAATAATGTGTATGTACATTAAAATTTGAGACACACTGTTCTAGCATGTACCACTACTTAAGAATGCAACTACAAAATCATGGAACATAAGCAGTTTAAACAACACAATAAAGTATAATTTTCCCCCAAACTAGCATAACCAATTTACATCCAGCAGTATATAGAAGTTCCCTTTGATCCATATTCTCTTCAATGGTTGGTTACATTAGAAATCTTAAGTTTTGCCATTGTATTAGGTATAAAATTATACCTAATGGTATATGCATTTATATGAATATGAATTCATTTATATGAATATTAACAAGGTTGAGCACATTTTATGTTTACTGGCCATTTGTATTTCCTCTTCTGTTCATGTCTCTTAACTATTTTACTCATAATATTTTCATATTGATTTATATAAAAGTTCTTTATATATCCTATTATATATGCTTTGTCTATTACATATGTTGCAAATATCTTCTCCAAGTGTATGGCTTACCTTTTACTTTTTTAGTGTCTTTTGATAAACAGAAGTTCTCATTTTGATGTAGTTAGTATTATAACTTTTTTATATACTTAGCATTTTTTTGTGCTTTAAGAAAGTTTTCCTATTTTGAGGTCATAGCAAAGTTTTCCTATATTTTCTTCTAAAAGTTCTTTGTTTATGAAGGGGTAGGTATCTAATTCCATTTTTATATGAACAATGATTATCCCAACACCATTTATAAGTTGTTTATCTTTCTGTAGAGATCTTCAAGGTCACTGTCTAGAGTTATTCTTGTCACTATATAAACTCTGAGATTTCCATGCAACAGATTTATTGGGAAGTTCTCTCAGGAATAATTTCTTTGAAAGAAACAATAATGGGCAGAGATTTAAGTTGACTATGATGCAGTTGCAACAGAAGGCTCAGCCCAACCTCCAAGAAGCTCTGGAGTTGAGATAGCCCTTTAGAGTCTGGCCTCCAGGCAAGGAGACCAGACATGTTATACCACCACCCCACCATCACCTATAAACTAGTGAAGCAAAATGACAGACTCAAACCAAACCATATCAAAATAAAACTAAATGTAAATGGTCTAAATATCACAATTAAAAGGCAGAAATTATAAGATGGATAAAAAAGCAAGACCCAACTATATGCTACCAACAAGAAATGTATTTTAAATACAAGATACAAGTAGGTTAAATGTAAAAGGATGGAAAATGATTTAATAAACACAACAAACAAACATGGCTGGGGAAGAGAGAGAAAAACCAAGAAACAGACTCGTAACTATAGAGAACAAACTGATGGTTTCCAGAGAAGAGATGGGTAGGGGGATGGGTTAAATAGGTGATGGCTATTAAGGAGGGCACTTGTAATTAGCACCAGGTGTTGTATGTAAGTGTTGAATCACTAAATTCTATACCTGAAACTATGTTGACTAACTGGAATTTAAATAAAAACTTAATAAAAAGAAAAAATAAACCATGTTAACACTGGTTAAAAGAATGCTGAGGTGGTTACATTAATATCGGGCTAAGATTATTTCAGTGTTAATAATATTACCAGTTATGAACCACTTTAAAATGATAAGAGAGTTGAATAATCAAGAGAACATAACAATCCTAAACATTTGTATCCTTGAGACAAAGCTTCAAGCTACATAAAGCAAAACCTGATAGAATTACAGTTAAAAAAAAAAAAAGACAAATCCATAATTATGCCCAGACACTTCAATGCCTCTCTGTTAATAATTGATGGAAGAGGTAGGCAGAAAATCAGCAAGGATATAGTCAACTTGGAGAACACCTTCAACCAACCTAACCTGATTGTCATTCATAGAATACTCCACCCAACAAGAGCAGAATACACATTTTTCTCAAGTGCACAGGGAACATTTATGTGTAAATGTCACATTCTGGGCTTCAATAAATTTAAAAGGGTTCAGTTTATTAATTTTTATTAAAAGTTTGTTCTCTGATCGTGATGGAATTAAAATTAGAAATGAATAAACAGAAAGATCCTTGAAAAACCCCAAATATTTAAAAACTAAATAACATGCTACTAAGTAGTCCATCAATCAAAAAAGAAATCAGAGAAATTAGAAAGTATTCTGAATGGAATGAAAATGAAAATACAACATATTAGAATTTGTGGGATGCTGCCAAAGCAGTACTTAGAGAAAAAGTTATAGCAAAAATGCCTCCATCAAAAGAAGAAAAGTCATAAATAAATGATCCCAGATTCCACCTTAAGAAGCCAGAAAAGGAGGAGCAAATAAAACTGAAGCAGAAGAAAGAAAATAAAGATCAAAGTGGAAATCAGTTTTATAGAAAACAGAAAAACAATCGTGAAATTCAGAGAAATCAAAAGCTGGTTCTTTGAGATCAATAGCATTGATAAACTTCTAGCCAGACTAAAGAAAAAAAGAAACACAAATTACCAACAGTAGCAATTAAAGAGGTGACATCACTACCTATTTTAATATCTATTAAAGAATACTAAGGAATTATTATGATGCCACTAAGTTTAATAACTTAGATGAAATAAATTCCTTAAAAGACACAAATTATCAAAATGCACTCAAGAAGAAATAGATGATAATAATAATAATAATAATCATAATCCTATATCTAGTAAAAATTTGCATTTCTAGTTACAAGTTAAACACCTTCCTAAAAGAAATTCCAGGCCCAGATAGTTTATTAATCCCATCAAACACATAATGAAAAAATAATACTAATTGTATACATATTCTTTCAAAAAAGTAAAGAGGGAATACTTTTCAACTAATTCTACAGGGTTACCCTAATATCAAAACCAGACAAAGACATTATAAGAAAAGAAAACTGTAGATAGATATCCCTTATAAGCAAAGATGAAAACTGCTAAACAAAATTTAAGCCTATCAAATCCAACAGTAGATTAAAAGTATAAATTACAATCAGGTGGAATTTATTTTAGAAATAAACATTTAAAAACCAATGTTATTCACCATATTAACAAACTTAAAAAGAAAAACTATATATCATCTCAATAGATGTAGAAAAAGCATTTGACAAAAACCTAGCATCTATTCCTGATAAAACTCTCAACAAACAGTAAAGTAATGGGATCTCCTCAATGTGATTAATTGTATCTACAAAAAAATCTCAGCTTACATCATACTTAATAGTAAAAGGACTGAACACTTTCTCCCTAAGATCAGAAACAAGAGAGGGATGTTTGTTTTCACTACCTCCATTCATCATTGTGCTGGAAGTTCAGGCCAGTACAAACAGGAAAGGAAAGGTAACCAGATTAGAAAAGAAGTAAACTCTTTATTTACACACTATATGATCATCTCAAATTCCTCACACCAAGGACATTTCTAGGATAACAAACTAGGATTTCTCAACCCAGCACCATTGATATTTTGGGCCAGTCCCTTCCCCTCCCCTTCCCCTTTTCCTTCTTTTCTTTCCCCTTCTTCTTCCCTTTCTCCTGCCCCTTCCCCCTCTCCTTTTTTCCCCCCAGTACCCCTTTCCTTCCTCTTCCCCTTCTCCCCCTTCTTCTGTGCAGAGGAGGGCAAAAGTTGTCTTGTGCACTGTAGGATGTTTAGCAGTATCCCTGGCCTCTGCCTACTAGATGCCAATAGCATTCCTTCCCACGTCCCACCTCCTATAGCTGCAACGACCAAAAATATCTCAAGACATTGTGAAATATACCCTGGTGATAAAATATTCCCCTCCCTGCCCACATTGAGAAGCACTGTTCTAGAATCAAGGTGAAATGTGGATTACAAGAATTTGAGAGTGAAAGCAGTTGGAACACAACAGCTGTGGAAAACATGAAATGCAGTAAAGGCCTGAACTACATTAGCAGTACTAGGCTTGGACTAAAAGGACAATAATACTTAAATAGCATTTGGTTGATAGGGTAGAACAAAGTAGAAGCTCAAATTTTGGTTTGCATAATTAGGTAGATGATGGTGTCACAAAAAAGATGATCATGTTACATATAAGGAAAAATATATAGGATATGCTTCCTTGTTTGTCATAGTTGCTGAGTTTTCTGATTCCAAAGTACTTCCAGATAAAAACAATTAGAAAAAGTAGAATTTCATTAACTGTGCTTTGATTTGATTCTCTTCCTGATAACCATGAACTTAACTATTCTTCCTAATCCTCATCATCATGAGAGTCACCACTCACATTGAAATAGTGGACTGTATGGTAGATTCGGTTTCTATCAAAATGACAAAGCACTCAAGTTAAACTTGAAGTTGTAAAGAGAATCCTTCCACAGTTTCTCAGAAATATAGACCTTTCCTCTAGAAAGCAGATAAAGACACAGTACAGCCAACTGGAATGTGCCTCTCCACCTTAGTTTGGCAGCTATGTCTATGTTTGTTTTATTTTTACCTACGAGGCACTATATTGATTAACATGCTAAACCTTTGTCTTGCTTTATGTCTTACTACATTTCAATTATTGGAAGTTGTCATTTGCAATAGTGAATAATGGATTGGAATAATTTACCTTAGGATGAAAAGCAAAACACATTCCAGGGGCCTGTCGAGATATCAGAGCTTCACCTTTCTTTTCTTTTTCCCCTCCCTTTTTGCTGCTGCTAGAAGTAGTTCGCTTCAAACGCATCAAATCTTTATTTAAAGAAGAAAACATATATCTTATTTAATACACGAAAAAGTATTGTATAATAATGTATGTCCCTCCTACAAATAATAGTATGAGTTCTGCCATCTTTTGCATGTGATTAACTTAAAACTAGCAAATACCAATGAGAAAAACAATGAGCAAGTACAATATTTTTTCTTATGTAGCCAAACTAAAATTTGTCACCTCTTACTCATGGCTCACTAGGATTTTAAGTCAGCACATAATAAGAGAAAGGTAATTTGATATGTATGTGTATTTGTATACATTCTTTTTACCATGACAGTCCAGTCCTTTCCGTATAACCCATTTGGAGATTCTTCCATCTGCTGATATAGAAACTAGTATTTCTCTTTTGTCATCCCCTGTTGTACCTCGATCTTGTTCTATCCACTGTAGTTGCCATACAGGTCCCAAATGTTTTCGAGGTGATTCACTAAAACAGGGAAAAGCACTAAATATAGAATCATTGTCATAATTTTTAAAAGCACAGGAGTATAAGTCATAAGGACAGCTCCCTGGAGCACTGTGACCTACTTATGGAATGATGCCCCTATTGTTCACTTTCACTTTAGTAAAAGTATTTTGAAAAACAGGGAAAACAATCATTTTGTCACCTAATATTTTAGTTTTTTTCATTTCTTATAAAAGGAAACTTTTACTTCTTTTAATTATATTAATGCCATAAAAGAAATACAAAAGCAAATATTTTCTTTCTTTTCAAAATATACTTTCCCTTACTCTATTCATTTACTTTTTCCTAGATAAGTTGTGTTAATTTATTTTGGACACTTTGAAAATAAGTATCTTCATCTTTATAAGGATTTTTTTCATAGCTTAAGTAGATAAATTATTTAAGTCTTATTTAAGTAAACAATTACCTTACCTTTCTATATTTCAGGCTTGCCCATTGGCTTGATTCTCTCTATGGCTGATTTAACATTTCTCTAAAGAATTAAAATCTCTTCTCAGATTAGTGATTGTTTTCCTGTCAGGATAATAGGTTCCTCTGTTCCTAGTCCTTGACTTTTTTATGCAAACCTCCCAAAGCAATGGTTGTGAATCTTTTTAAAATCATAGATAACTTCGATTATTTGGTAAAACAAGCACAAAGGCCCATGCTTATAAAACTATGCAGATAATTTCAAATTTAAGCTTACAGACCTTGCTTTGATGCCTATTTTCAGCTCTAAGTTTATTCAAACACTAATATAAATATACTACTTCATTTTTGCCCCATTGTTCTATCTGTTCTATTATAAAAACCTAACAATACTCAATATCTTTCACTTTTAACTTTTTTTATTTTCTCAGTATGACTCATTCACTGATTGATTTATTTATTCTTATTCACTTACTCTAATCCTGTTACATTCTCAATATTATGTGACATGCTGAGGATAAACAGGCAAGACTTAATCCTTGACTTCGAGTTGCTTACAGCCTCTTCAGAAAGATATATATATATAAATAATACATATACAGCATGATGAGTGCTATGATAACTAGACAAACGCACAAAAGAAAGGAATGGGAAGGCTTCTTGGAGGAGGTGGTGCCAAAGCAATAAAGGGTACAAACTTATAGTTAGAAGATGAACAAGTTCTAAAGATCTAATATATAGCATGATGTTCATAGTTAACAATACTGTACTATATACTCAAAATTTGCTAAGAGAATAGATCCAAAATGTTCTCACCACATATTAATCAATTTTATTGTGGTAATCATTTCACAGTGTATACATATTAAATAATTACATTGTACCCCTTTTAAAAATCACATTGTAGAACCTAAATATATACAATTTTTATTTGTCAATTGTACCTCAATGAAGCTGGGGAAATTTTTGATTTTCTTTTAAAAGAATAAACAAACTGTAGGGGCACCTGAGTGGCTCAGTCGGTTAAGCGTCCGACTTCGGCTCAGGTTATGATCTCACGGTTCATGAGTACAAGCCCCGTGTGAGGCTCTGGGCTGACAGCTCGGAGCCTGGAACCCACTTCAGATTCTGTGTCTCCCTCTGTCTGCCCCTCTGCTGCTTGCACTCTGTCTCTCGCATTGTCTCAAAAATAAATAAACATTAAAATAATTTTTTTTAAGAATAAACAAACTGTCAAGGAAGGCTGGTGAGGTGGGCAGAGAACATACAGATTTTAGGACAGAGAATTTCAGCTAGAGAGGAATTATTAAGTGAAAAATAATGGTATCACTCTCAAAACATAAACATTCACTCAAAATTAGATAACATTAGATTAAATTTTTACTTCTCCCTAAAAAAAGCACATATTATATGTTTATCTGATTCTTGGATTCTCACCTACTATCCAGAACAGGAACATTACTGTTGCTCTGTACATTATAAATTGCAATGGTACCATTGTGATAGCCAACTGCTAAAAGATTAGGTGCTCCAATGGAGAAATCCACAGCAGTAACTCCATATGGACTCTGATAAATACGTTCTGGCCACTGAATAAAAAAATAATTGTATTACATTTTAAACTGGGTTTTGCAGGCCACAGTAAGATAGGGTATAATGGTGACTTAAGACAAGTCTGGGGGCAGTGGAAATGTAAGAAGGGCTAGTCTACATTAAGTTACTCTTCTCTTCCTAACTTCCAGTATAGATGAAAACAAAATGTCAATTAGTCATTCCCTTTCCTTTGATGAATCCTCAGGACTCAATAATTTTAAGAAATACAGCATGGCCTTCTCCAATAATTATCATATTTTGGTAATCTTTCAGTAGGATTTGCATGATCATCATAGATTTACTTTCTTTAAGAAACAAATAATGGGCTCCAATCAAATTATCTAGCAATGTTCCTATCTTCCAGTATCTGTTTCATAGGCTTGCATTATCTAGACATTTCTGAACGGTGGAAAGAAGAAGCCACAAAAAAACTCTGTACAGTAGTCTTTTTGACAACTCTGTGAAGAGTTTTATTGTTTTGCTTTGCTTAAAGTCTAATCTAAATCCTTTCTTGCTTCTAACAGTCTGTATGGAAAAGAAGACAACTTACCAATGATGGATCCTATATCAATACTTCCACATGTTTAAAATTGCTTCTTCCTTCCTTTTTTTTTAATTCTACATAAACCCAGCTTCCTAATAGACTGGGATTATTTATAAAAGCTCCAATCATTTTTTATTTTGCTTTCCTGATCCTTTTCTAAGTTTTCCACTTCACAATTCAGTTATGAATTAAAACTAAACGTAAAGCTGCAAAATAACAGACTGACTAAAACTGTTTAACAAAAACACACCATGACTGATTCTTATTATTCTCCTTGAAAAACTCTTGCTAATAACATGGTCATTCATATTCATCCATTTTGTATGTATTCAAGCCAGCAGAAATCTATCTTATGAGGTGATGAGATATTTATACATTAAGAAACAATTCAGTATTAGCTGAAACATATAATTTTCAAAGGATTTTCACTCACAAATTTGCTCTTCTTTCTGATAAAAAATAATGGTTCAACTCTGGATCATAAGATCTAGTAGCACATAGTAAATGCTCAATAAATATTTATTAAATGAATTTACTTTACCTAATATCAACAAGAATAAATTTTAATACTTGTAGATTTAAACCAAAGAAAATAAAGTCTTCCTCGATAATTTTTTGACTTTAATTATCACACACAACTATCTACTTTATGAGAATTATGTCAATATTTAATTAACTAAAAATGGGTTTTTTCCTACTGGGGTTACCATAGGATTCTTTATTGACCAGCAGCAAGCCAATCCTCTTTTTTGCTCTCTAAATCCAAAGTGCCCATAGCCAACAGCCAAAAGGTCCTGAAAATCAGAAAAATATGTTTAAAATAAGAGAGGGTAGCATAAAAACATTGGAAAATATATAAAGATACATTTTAATGAACTGTGTTAAAAATAGAAAGATACTTCTATTGAGAAAAAATACCAGTATACTATTTATTTTTACTTTACACCTCCATCTTCCTAAGCAAAATAATAATCATATTTTCAGACTGATGAATAACTAAAAAGAACCAATTGCTGAAAAGTTCTTTTACATATTGAGTTAATCTTCCAAGATTATATTACTACATTATGGGTTTCTGAGAATGACCTAATTATTTCAAATATAAAGACAAAGTGCCATGAACTGAATTGTGTCTCCTCCCCTAAAATTCATGTGTTGAAGTCCTAATCCCCAGTGTGATTATATTTGAAGAAAGGGCTTTTAGGAGGTAATGAAGATTAAATGAGATCATGAGGGTCATAATGTTAATCCAATAGGATTGGTGGCCTCATGAAAAGAGGAAGAGACACCAGAGCTCTCTCTCTCCACCATGTGAGAATGCAGCAAGATAGGAAGAGAGCCTGCCATCTGCAAGACAGGAAGAGAGCCTTCACCAGTAATGAAATCAGCCAGCACGATGATCTTAAACTTCCTGGCCTCCAGCAAATAAATTTCTGATTTCTAATCCAGCCAGTCGATGGTATCTTGTCATGGCACCCCAAACTGATTCATAAAGCATTTCAAGATCTGCTTATACAAGTGCATAAAGACAAACGTTTAATGATTGACCAAACCCAACCTCTTCTTTGTAATCAGAATACCTTTATCAAAAATATATATTTTTGCCATAACCCTACTTTCAAGCCAACATCACCTCTTTATAATTTCCTCTGCCTTAAACCACTCTTCACCACTATTCCTTTTACACTGACATGAACAAACTTCTATTCATCGCTTCAAGACTCAGCATAGGCACCACTTCCTCTAAAAAGCATTCATGAGCCTCTCTTATGTATTCCCACAATACTATTTATTTTCCTTATTAAAACACAGAGAGAACTATTATATAGGCAGGGTCTATGTGTGACTAAATTACTACTGTTTCTCTAGTGCCTTATTAGAGTTCCTGGCATAGTCAACGTTCAATAAGTATTTGTAGAATGAATTAATAAATATAATAGATGCCATTTGTCATATTTTTTTAGCTTTGTTAACAATTATTTAAATTTAATCTCAATAACAATATATTAACTTTTAAATGCTGGTATATTCAGTTTCTAAAAATGATTCACCTGTCTTTATTACACATTTATTATTGATTTATTGAGTATCACTTACCTTACATGGGGTTTCCAAATATAGTTTATAAAAACCAATCTGTACTAAAAGTATTTTATTTTATTAAAAATAATATACATAATTTAAATAACACATTACTTAGGTTTCTATAAGAATGGTGATAGACTTTCTGTTTTTTTAAAAACCGTAACCACTAGCATATTTGCACATAGCACCTTATAAGGTGTGGCAGTAAAATAAAAAGGCTAATTCTTAAACTTACATTATACAATACAATCTTAATATACCAATTCATTTTGACCACTTTAAAAATACACTAAATATTTATTCCAAAGGTATTGTTATTACACAAAAGGGTTTTAGAATCCCTAATTGAGAATCATGTCTTCAGAAGCAGTATATAAACTCAAGGAGAAAATAAGTCTCGTTACTCTATAATCATCTCTCTTTTAAAGAAAACATACCATTCTCCAACGTGATGATTCATATAATTTGGCTCAAGATGATTTTTGGCAGTGCAGTAATTAAGAGCAAGAACTCTGGATTCAGATGTTAGAGTTTGAATTCTAGCTGTTTCACTTACTAGAGTTGTGTTACTCTGGGAATTTAAGAGATGTGTAACTTTGGGCAAGTTATTTATCCTTTTTGTACTTCAGTTTTCTTATCAACATAATGGGGAAAATAGTACCTAACTCAGAGTTACCGTGTTAATACAAGTAAAATGCTTACAGTATCGCCTGGTACATAGTAAGTACTATTTAAGTATTTGCTGTTAAGCACTCTCAACAATAGCCAAATTATGGAAAGAGCCTAAATGTCCATCAACTGATGAATGGATAAAAAAATTGTGGTTTATATACACAATGGAGTACTACGTGGCAATGAGAAAGAATGAAATATGGCCCTTTGTAGCAACATGGATGGAACTGGAGAGTGTGATGCTAAGTGAAATAAGCCATACAGAGAAAGACAGATACCATATGTTTTCACTCTTATGTGGATCCTGAGAAACTTAACAGAAACCCATGGGGGAGGGGAAGGAAAAAAAAGAAAAAGAGGTTAGAGTGGGAGAGAGCCAAAGCATAAGAGACTCTTAAAAACTGAGAACAAACTGA